TTTATATATATATATGTATATATATATATATTCATGTTTGTAATATTGACTGGTGGCCAAAAGTTTGGAATAATTACGATTTTTAATGTTTTTTAAAGAAGTCTTTTATGCTCATCGAGGCTGCATTTGTTTGATCAAAAACCCAGTAAGCAGAAATTAATTTTTTTTTTTTTATTTAAATTAATTAAAAAGCTGAATTTCCAGCATCATTACTCCAGTCTTCAGTGTCACATAATATTCTGATTTGCTGCTCAAGAAACATTTCTTATTATTATCAGGGTGAAGCTGAAAATTACGCTTTGCCATCACAGGAATAAATTATATTGGAAAATAAATTCAAATAGAAAACAGTTATTTTGAATTGTAATAATATTTCACAATATTACAGTTTTTACTGTTTTTGAATTTTAAAATTTTTTAATAAACATTTTTAATTTAAACATAAAAAAAAAACTTGATTATTCCAAACTTATGGCCACCTGCATGTGTGTATATTTTTTCATTTACGTTTCATTTAAAGTAATTTAAAATAATTACAACTTGATCGCCGTCTGTTGACATATTCTTGACATTTTCACTACGTTTGGTTCCACTTCCCAAAAAGATGTTATTTTTTGTATCTTTTTTTTTTTTTGAAAACAGGTTTAAATATATTGTGCAGCATATTTTACATTGTTCATTAGTTCTGGATTATTTTGTAGGCTTATATGAACTACCGCAGGCAGAGCACAGCGGGATGGAGCATCGGGAATGTGCTGCTGGACTTCACAGGGGGCAGTTTCAGTTTACTTCAAATGTTCCTTCAGGCCTACAACAACGGTGAGAACCCTTCGTTTCCTATACGGCAGCACTTTAAAGATGTTAGAATGCGCACAAATATTTGTTTTCATTTTTGTGTTTCCTTGACAGATAAATGGAAGTTTATATTTGGAGACCCCACAAAGTTTGGACTGGGCGTATTGTCCATATTCTTTGATGTCGTGTTCATCGTGCAGCATTATTGTCTGTATAGGAACAGAGAGCCAATGTATCATGATTTAGATGATCAGAATGACCAACACACCAGTGTTAAAACATAACCGCAGCAATATAAAGATTTCATATGGACTTTTCTATCTTTTTTATCACTATATAAAGTCTGGACCATGTATTAAAGGGAATTACAAATGTGTCTTACTCCAAAACATGCATTTTGAACTCAAATAAGCACTAGTTTCATATGATTTAGTCTACATATTTATAATAATTTTTCAGATTTCAGTAAATTGTTGCTGTCTCAGGTGAATTACTGAAGCTGTACTGTAATGAAATGAATGCAACACTTCAAATAAGCATGTTTGTTTGTGCTTTTTTTGTCCATATTTCACGTTTTACACACTGCATTCTGGTGGCCGTGAGATAAACTACACGAGACGAATCCTTAGTACTGCGTTCTGACCAGAAAACTAACGTATTTATTCTCATGTTGTTTAAAATGAAAATAAAATAGCGTTATAATTATATAAATCACCAGGGTTGCCAGGTTTTAGGCCAGTCGCGTTTCGAGGGGTCCCCAGTTAAAAATCGCGTTCCAGTGGGGAAATACACGTTTTTTGGCGGGGTTCCCCTGCTAAAATTCATTCGCATTCCAGGGGATAAATATAATGTTATTGGAGTCGCTTCAAACCGCGGCAACAGTGTTAAAGTAGCCCTATTCCGCGGGGAAACCGCGGACTTGGCAACACCGGGCGTCACAGCAGAGCGCAGAGGATTATGGTTAGACAGCGGAAGTACGATGGCGGAGCTGACAGATGAGGGTAAGAGATTTTTGTGCATGAAATACCAGTTTATCTCTTTCTGTGCCTTTTTATTAACTACAGTGAATCATGTTATGATTTGTGAGGCTGTTTGGAGTTGACAGACCGAGTGTTTGATTAGTGCAGTTGATTTAATTCTGCAATATTATCGTAGCATTTAAACGCCGCGGCCTCAGTCAGAGACGGAACTAATGTTTACATACACTTGTGTTTATTTATATCCTCTTACAGAAATGTGTTCGTCATTTACATTTGTTGAAAACGACACCTAATGGTTTTAAGTCATTTGTGAATATGCATACTCAATGGACTGTTTCTATTCTCGGGAACACAAAAATGACTCAATTACCATAAATGTAGCCCGCCCAACTATGAATGAGAAACGAACAATTTAAAGTCATTATTCACTGAAGGGTCATTCCGTGTCAACTCAACCAAAGGTCCCCGGCTCAATTTTTTTTATTTTGTTTATATTTTTTTTCTGGAGAAAGATAAATGTATATCAATGAAACCAAAATATGACAAATATGGTTGTATTTTTACGGAGTAATCCACTGTTTTGTAGAGAGGCGTCAAAATGACAATTTTCACCTGAGATTCGGAGCCAAATTACAGGAGGGTAAAAATGACTTCAGAAAGACTGCAGCATCATTATATTATTCCAGCGATATTGGAATCTCAATATGGTTCCAGGAGTAAACTGTTAAATTGTACACATATTCAGTGGTCAAAAACCAAATGTGGGTCACTTTGCATTCAGCTGATAATTTTATCTTTTAAACAGGAATGTCTGAAGAACAAATACTGTTACAACTAGAAATGTATATTGTTTCCCCTCTATCAAAACAATTGCATAGAACATACCGCTTGGAGTGCCAAAAAATGCATTTTTTTTCTGAAGTTTTCTCATCTGAGCAAGTTAATGTCCCTCAACTTGACCATTTCGGTGCATTTTTAACACTCAGACATGCATGTTCTATGCAGTTGTTTTGAAAGAGGGAAACAAGTTACAACTCTAGTTTCAGCATTATTTATTCTTCAAATATTTCTCTTTAAATACAATAAGTATCAGCTGTATACAAAACGACCATCATTTGGTTTTCGACCACTGGAATGGGTAATTTTCAATAATTTGGACATGAAGCCGCATTGGGATCCCCATATCTCTGGGACTGAACTATATAGGGCCTTGAAAATCATGATTCCAAAAAAAAAAAAAGTTTGTTAAGAACCAGAATGTAAAATCATATTGCGATATCTTTAATACTTCTTAAGTTACAGGCACCTCTGGGACTGAACTATATAGGGCCTTGAAAATCATGATTCCAAAAAAAAAAAAAAGTTTGTTAAGAACCAGAATGTAAAATCATATTACGATATCTTTAATACTTCTTAAGTTACAGGCACGCAAACTTTGGAAAAGTAATATATATGGCACTGAGACAGATATGAGCTATGCAAGTGTTTTGATTGAGTGAAACAAGATACATTTCAAGTTTCAACATTATTTGTTCTTCAGACATTCTTCCTTAAAAGATAAAAGTATCATCTGTATGCAAAGTGACCAACATTTGGTTTTTGACCACTGAAAAGGTGTACAATTTAACAGTTTACTCCTGGGACCATATTGAGAGCCCTATATCTCTGGAAATGAACCATACAGAGCCTTAAAAATAAAGGTGCCAAAAGGAAAGTTTGTTAAAACCCAAAATTAAGATATCTGTAATATTTCTTGAGTTACAGGCCTGCAAACTTTGGAGAAAAAAATTGAAAAGTGCTTTTTTCCATTTTTGAATAGTCACCACTGGCGTATAATGCAACTAAGACGGCTAAAGTCAACAGATATTACTAATAGACCTACCAATCTCTGTGTAAAAATAACAATGATGCTGCCATTTCTTTATTTAAAGTCACTTTTACCCTCGTTTAATTTGGCTCCGAATCTCAGATGAAAATAGTCATTTTGACCCCCCTCTACAAAATAGTGGATTACTCAGTAAAAATACATCCATGACATTTAATATTTTGGCTTTCATCACTAATACATGTTTATCTTTCTTCAGAATAAAAGATTAACAAAATCAGAAATTTGAACCGGGGAAGTTTCTGAAATTTTGATTGATTTGACATGATATGACCCTGAAAATCGTTCCCTCCAGTGAGCTGTACACTGCTGCGACTGGAGTATTAAATCAGTGAGTTGAACTTGAAAACTGAATCATACAAGTTTATAAACATGAGGTTGTTGAGTAAATAAGAATTTTCAGTTTTGGGTGAATTTTTTGCGTTTGTGAATTGGTAACTGGGGCTACTTCTTGTCATGTCTTTTTTATTTAACAAAATTCTCATGCTTTTGCCCCCATATTTTATTTAGTGTTTTCTCTCTGATGCTTGGAAACAGAAGAGCTTGACTTCATCCTGAGGAGGATCAGACGGCAGCATGGCAGATGAGAACGGTGAGTTGTGTTGACAAACGGATGAAGAGATGATCTCATCTGCACTTCTTTAGTGATATTATTGGGACAGTCATCAGCAGATTTTTGAACAGTCTGTTTTGGGCTCTCAGAATCATTCAGTCAGTGCTAATGGGCTGAGCGTTTAAATAGGTCAGTGTGAAACATCAGAGCCTTTAACTAGTAGACGTAAGATTGTAGACAGCCACACATCTCTAAGCCCAGCTTTCCTCATGGTAACATAAAAATAGACACAAGGAAATTAACCCAGGAGTGTTTCTATATTTTTAAGTCCTCTAAATGATCAACGTCATCAAAACTTCGCTGAAAAACCTGTTTTACACAATCTACTTCACACGATCTTCTAGTGCTGTCAAACGATTAATCGCATCCAAAATAAAAGTTTTTGTTTATATAATATACTGTATGTGTACTGTGTATATTTATTATGTATATATAAATGCACAAACATACATGTATATATTTTAAAAATATTTACATGTGTATATATATTTATTTATACTCATATATATATATATATATATAATTTATATATAAATAAAAATATTTTATATATAAACAAAACATTTTTCTTAAATATATGCATGTGTGTGTATATACATAATAAATATACACAGTACACACGCATATATTATGTAAACAAAAACTTTTATTTTGCCCGCGAAATACGGACACTCTGACCTGCCCACAAACACTTTACAGACCTTAAGCTCAGAACTGCTTTCGGAAATCATTAAAAAATTATTCTAATATTAAATGTATATTCTTAGAAATTAAAATGCATTTAAACCTATTGTAGGGGACTTCAGCACAATATTAGGACACTTTAAAATACCATATGACCTGCTCTTTAAAGGGGACATCGGATGACAGCCATAATAATTATACAAATCACACTTTTGGGCACAATAGTCAATTTTTAATTATTATAAACTATTTTTATTGATACTTTTCAGTTTGAGTGAATTCTATTTTTAAATAATAATATACTGTATATAAATGAATATAATCAAATGCATTTATAATGAACATTTCTCACACTTTATCTGCTGTTTTGGATTCATTTTCTCTCTGCCAAGCGTACCTGAGGTGCTGTTATAGCATGTTGTAGAACAGAAAGCAATTAAATTATTTTCTACGTAATGACACCAAATCAATATCTTGTTTTTCATCTTGCAGAGACACCTGCTGTTGCTCCTCCAGTGTTTGTGTTTCAGAAAGATAAAGCACAAAAGGTAAGACCAGCACTTTCGTTCTTACTGGTTGACTCAGATCACACCTGTCCCATTCTGGCCTTAAAACACTTTTCTGTCCTCAGAGGTCAGCAGAGGGATCCAGCACAGAGGATGGAGAGGGTGAGCTTCAGTCTTTTTGCCGTCAACAGACAATATTATTGAAAGGATTCATTTCACAAAGAAATGTTTGGAAAAGGCTATATAACTATAATTTAACTAATGTTTAAAGAGGCAGAGTGCTTAAATGTCATAAAAATGTTATTACAGAGACTAAAAATCTTATAAACAGGCTTTGTTTTCTTTTTGTCCTATTTTTTCCTATTACTTTTTTGTGAAAAATGTCTTGGAAATGCATACCAAGAGTCCTGTGTGAAGAATTCATGTATGCATGTGTCTTTAAAATTTAAATGTATTTTATATTTAATTTTCATTTTTTTCTGGACTTGGTTTCCCTTCTGTTTCTGCCTAGACTCTGATAAAGAAGACGGCAGTTACAGTCCTGCTGCCAAAAGAGGAAGAAGATCACCATTTACGCAATTCCCACCTTCTCATTCCGGTAATCCACCTGGACAATAATTGCAGGTCTTCATAGCACATTACGGTCTTCTTCTGTTTAGCCCGGTTTCTTGACACACTTTCTTTTCCGTTTTACAGTTTCTAAGAATAATGTTTTCATGCCATCCAGTTTCTGCCAGTCACCAACCGGAAACTCCGACTCAGAACCTGGTGAGACTCAATGTGCTTCAAATTTGTACCAAATCACATATTATGTAAATCAATATGAAATGATCTTCGTAACCTGTTTTACTTTCATAATGTGTCATTTATGAGTGAAACAGGATATTAAGTAAGAAAAAAATCAAGACTGGATTTTATCCATTGGGAATTAGTCAGATTGAGAAAAGTGGTCTGTATTTGACAGAATTGAAAATGAAAATTGTTTCTGAGATGGAGCAAGTTATTACATTTTGAAAGTTTGCGAGACAAACTTTTGCACAAGACCAAGATTGTGCAATAAGAAAGTACATTTTGGTTTCATGTTAACTGATGTTGTTTTCTCCATTGTTTTTTCTTCGTCAGAAGAGAAGACTGTGGGGTTTCGCCTGAAGCCCCCGACTCTTATCCATGGCCAGGCGCCGAGCGCTGGTGAGTCAGTGTTCAAACATCTGCTGTTTTGAACAGTCTGTTGATTAATGTCCAGTTGTGGCGCTTTCATAAGTTTCTTTATTTATATGATAGACAGTAGACAGTCACCATTTGAACTTTCTGTGCCAGAGACCCTCAGAGGGCCTGACAAAGTCCTGAGCGATGTGTTTCTGTCACCAGGCCTAGTCGGTTAAGAGCGATCATTATTTGATTGATTCGTTTCAGGTGTCCCCAGCCCAAAACCCAAAGAAGCCCAGCGCAGCATCCTGAGACCTCCAGTGCTGCAGCCCCCTCCGGCCCGATCCCCCCCTCAGAACAGTGAGTACAAGGGTACACAAAAATGACTGTTCGCCCCAAACCTTGGTTTTGAAATTACAGTTTACAATGTGTACAGCACATTGGTCAACTTATTGTTGTTTTTAATCGTGCTTTAGAAATAAATTGCCTTGCCTTGCCAGTTCGGTACATTTTTCGGTACAGCAGGAGGGAAAAATGTAAACATTATTTTTTTCTTTTTTATTAAACATGGTTTACTGAACACATTGTGGGGGACTTTGTAGAAAACGACGTGTTTGAGAGAGGCGGGGCATAGAGGACCTACAATAATGTACAGTATTTGAAAAATAATGTGTTTTTTGAACATTAAAGCATGTCAACATATTCTGTTACACCAAATACACAAAATAATGATCTTTAAAAAAGCATCATATGACCCCTTTAAATAAAGATATTTATTAGGATAAAAAAAATCTATCTCCGCTAATGCTGTAAACTGTATAGAGAGCCCTATTACTTGCACATTACTCTAATATTAAAGGTTACAATTAACAACAGAGCCAAAACTATTAAATTCACTTGATATTTATTTTTAGATACAATAGTCAACACTCAAAAAAAAAAAAAATTCCAGTTTTTACATTTACTTCTAAATCTAATTATAAAATTAGGTTTCTACTCCAATTTGATGTTAAAATATAATCATTTACAAAATGGCTGTCATAACTTGTTTTCATGACAGACTTATTTAAACATACATTAAATAATTAAGACATCACTAACAGGTTAAGTAAAATATAATAAATATATAGGCTAATATAGTGCATATTTTAGTGCAGTGTCCTTCTCTAGAGTTCCCTTCTCTAGTGAACTAACCAGCTGTGGGCACTGAATGACTTGTATGTAATGCTATGTTAAATGTTTACACGCTGTTTTACTGATGTCTTTCCGTGGTTGGAACACTGATTCAGCGATTACTTGAGACATGAGATGTTCATTCATGTTTATTTTGTACTAGTACAAAACTAGTAGTAAAGAGGAGGGATGATTGCGTTCAGTTGTGCTCTGCTGCCGTTTGCCTATACAACGATCTGTCACGCCACATCAAAGAGCATCAAAATGGCATTTATTGTTTGAATTTCGTGATAAAATGGACAGAATTTGAAAGATGAGACTTTGTTTCTTATCGAAAATAACTGAACACAAAGCTCATGGCTATTATGTCCAGTGAAGTTTTATTTACGCATCAGCTGAAAGAGTATAGACTAAAAGTGATTTAAGAATTGATATTGACTCATTAAAATTAAGATATATAAAACTAGTTTCAAATTAAGTTCTGCACATACAATGGCTAAAACTAGGCTGTATTGGTTCCATACACAAGCGTACCGAACCGAAAGACCTGTACTGAAAATATTCTGTACAAATATGTGTACCATTACACCCCTAGTGAGTACTTGATGAATACCAACTCCGATAAATCAGCTGAAGCAGAACTACAACTAACAGCTGCAGCCTGTTGTTTCACCAGACACAAGCAAAAGCAGTTCAAACGGAGCAAAAAACCTCTCAGATGGAGGAGCAGAATGTGAAGGTAACTCAGAGACGCCTGCTGCTGGCACACAGGATAATGACGTGACATCGGTAAGACAGCACTGTTCTAAATCTATTCATCACTGTTCTAAGTCTATTCAAATCTATTAAGTGCACTTTGGGAGGAAATAGATTAATGCCAGTATAATGATTTGACAACCCGTGTCCAAATACTTTTTCATTCATTTCAAACAGTATATCTTTTTATCATTTCAAACGTACCAAACTTCTTTTTTGTGGAACATTTGTGCTATACTTTTTCATCAGATGCCACTTTGTTTATTTTCTTATATAGCACAAAGAAATTAATATATCGTGAAGTGTGGCTTAAGTGTCTTCATACATTTCAGGGACACTGTAAAGTTTGAACTCCGTGTTTATTATATTTGACAATGTAAGCATGTTTGAACGCAGCATGGGCTATGGTCCAAAGGCCAGACAAGTCTAGTTATATTTTACATGGCTGTGGCTTCCAGAAATGACTTTGACAACTTGTTCTGAATGTCTTTGTTGTGTTTGGCTGACCCAGTATTTCTAGTTGAAGCTCTGACGCGTAAATATAGCAAAGTGAACAGGATAGGAGCAGTCTGGACACACTTTTAAACTTAAATGACCTTTTTGTTATTTCTTTTAAGGTAAAGAACAACAGCACTTTTGAGCACAAAACAGAAGACAAAACTGAAGGTGCCCCAATTGAGGGCAGTTTTGTGTTTGGACAGAATATGAGGGACAGAGCAAAGGTTTGATTCATATGCATTCGATGTTCTCTTGTGTGCTTGTCTCATTCCTATTAGGGCTGGATTATACGTTGAATTTTTAGTACAGTTTTTTGCTGGCAATTTAAAAATGAAGGAATGATTTGATGCACTTTTTACTTATTTAGTTGCCTAATTTCTCCTTGACTTGTGAGTATGGAAGCATTTAGACAAATGTTTTCATAGCATCTCTTATTTAAACTTTAGTAAGAAAATGTTTTCAATTCATTTCATGAATCAGTTCAAACAGTTCAAATGATAAGATTCAGAATTCTTCTTCAGTGTTTTCTGTGTTGGGGTTTTGTTTTGTTGAAAATATAACTGTATTTGCTGCAGGTGGCCAACAGCTGTGTCTTATCCGAGAGTGGCGATTGTCTTCTGGCTGAAAATTCAGAGGAAACAAATTACTTTTTGCAGTGCATCACTTCCAGGTACTGCAATTGAAATGTTTATGTTCGTTTTTAAAGTCATTTTTTATAGATCTCCTCAGGCAGAAACTTGTAACTTTTCTTGCCATCAATATTGTGTTTTGTAGTGCACAAAAACCTGATAGCAGCAATGCCAACAGCGTGAAGTTTGTCTTTGGGCAGAACATGTTGGATCGTGTCTTGGTAAGGCAAAAAATTCTTTTCTAAACCTTTATATGTTTGTCATGATTTGGCTTGGTAAAGTTATCATAGATGACAGTTCCTGACTTGTTTATGTATTGCATGCTTCCAGGCGCTGCCGAAATTCAGCACTGAACCTCCAGGGGGCAGCAGAGAGCCTCAGCCTGAGATGGGCCTGTTCAGCCAGATTTCCTCCTCACAAGATCAAACTGTGGAGAAGAGTATGTGTTCTAGTTCCAATCACAAATCAGAGATGACAAATATGTTTTGAACTAATGCTACATCCTTACTACGTGCAGAACTTTGCAGTGTCAAATAGTTTTTCTATTTACACTGAAAGCAAAATACTGTGTGAAATGACAGCAAGTCATTATGTTAATAATATACATTGAGACCAAGCAGATTTTGCTTTGGGCAGGGTTACTTTGCATTGCAACAAATGTTCTTGTTGTGGTTGTGGATGGTTATGATAAAACTTTACGAGACGTTTTATCACATGGAACTCTTATCATATCGTGAAAAAAAACCCCAGAGTGTCCTTTCCTTTTATTTGATGGTTGTCAAGCTCTCCCATCACCATATTTACAACAATAGCAAGAGTCAGAGGCACAGTCACATTTTTAAAATGTGATAACCGCATACAACGTATATTTCATGTTACCTAAATACTTTTCATTTGTAAATAATTATTTCTTCACATGCTAGGGTTGTGCAAAACTGCATATTTTCAAAATTGGACTGTGACTAGTCGTTTATAAGAGGGCTAATAGTTATTGATAGATTGGTTTCGGGTATACATGGCCAAACGTGGGTCTTGAGATTTTTTTTTTTTACCTGACAGAGTATTAAAAGCAAAACAAATGTGGCATGTTGTTAATAAAATAGCTCAAGTACAGCATGCTTATCCCAGCCACTATAAATATATAGAGAGAGAGAGAGAGAGACTCACACGCTAGACTATTAATAAGATAATAAAGACAAATTAACAGTTTGAATAGCTACAGCTATTTGACAGAGGAAATGTTTATTATTGGTCTTATTGATAATTGATACATGTTTGAATTGTATTTGTCACTAAACTTTACATTGCACATACATTTATTATCCAAAGTGACTTGTAGTCTGCCATAAGAGTCCACAATTGTCTGTATAAATAAATAAAACAATCACATCAAGTATCTAATGTCAAGAAGATTTATAATTAAAGTTCCATTCAGAACATTCTGCCATTCAAAATTTGGGGTTGGATTGTATAATGTCCCACATTCACCAAGGTTGCATTTATTTGATCAAGAACACATAAAAAAAATAAAAATAAAGTATGATTGTGAAATATTATTACAAGAGCTGTTTTCTATTTAAATATATTTAAAAATTTTATTCATTCCTGTGATGCGAAGCTGAATGTTCAGCATCATTACTCCAGTCTTCAGTGTCACATGATCCTTCAGAAATCATCCTAATATGCTTTATATTTTGGTGGAACACATTTTTTTCAGGATTCTTTGATCAATAGAAAGTTCAGAAGAACAGCGTTTATTTTAAACAAATATTTTGTGACATTTTAAATGTCTTTACTGTTACTTTTTTTAATTGAATGAATCCTTGCTCAATAAAAGCATTAATATCTTTCAAAAAAATGTCTTACCCTAAACTTTTGAATGGACGTGTAAATTACATTTTCTACCATTGGTGTAACAGTATTGTCTTGTGCCACTGCACTAAATCGTTGAAGTTTATGTTGTGGTTTTAAAACAAATTCTTTAATGTGCTGTAGGTGACACCATGAAAGAGTCTCTGGAGGAGTCGGCGGCACGACACGAAGCACACAAACCCCAGAAGTGTTTATTAGAGCGGGTGGAGGTCAGGACAGGAGAGGAGTCTGAGAGCAACGTGCTGCAGGTGAGAGCTCACACATCTGATCCATACAGACGAGCTTCATCAAAACACATGAGAAGATGATGCTGCTCTGTCCCGTGTGTTTTCAGATGCAGTGTAAGTTGTTTGTGTTTGAGATGCTGTCTCAGTCGTGGGTGGAGAGAGGATGTGGAGTGCTCAGACTCAATGACATCGCATCCGCTGATGACGGCACCTTACAGTCCAGACTGGGTAATGCACTACTGATGTTGTAAAAGGCATTGGTCGTATAACCTTCACTCTTTAATATTAATATAACTTCTATATTTCAAGTCTTCCGAAGCCATATGATATACACTGCCATACAATAGTTTGGGGTCATACAGATTTTTTTAATGTTACTGAGAAAAGTCTCTTATGTTCACCAAGGCAGCATTTATTTGATCATAAATAAATAAAATAAAATAAATAAATAAAAACAGTAATATTGTGGAATATTATTAAAGTTTAATATAACTGTTTTCTATTTTAATATATTTTAAAATGTAATTTCTTCCTGTGATGCAAAGCTGAATTTTCAGCATCATTACTCCAGTCTTCAGTGTCACGTGATCCTTCAGAATTCATTCTGATATGCTGATTTAACGCTCAAGAAACATTTCTTATTATTGTCAGTTTTGAAAACAGTTGTTCTGCTTAATATTTTTGTGGATTATTTGAAATAGAAATCATTTGTAACATTGATCAGTTCAGTAATCCTTGCTGAATAAAAATATTATTTTTTAAGTTTTTGTTAATGGAGGAACTATTACTTCAAAACTATTTAAAGTGAGCTAATGAGATGCACAACATCTGAAGTGTACTGGATGCTTGTTTTACTCAAAATTAATGCAAAATTCATTAAAAACAGTGCATTTTCATTACAGTCAATGCAGTCTGCAGATTTTGTAACTGACACAGGGGGGTGCTAATACTTCTGTTTAATCAGCCTTGGGTGCTGAAGTTAGTGGCTGATGCCGGTAGTCTCAAAATGGACAAATATTGGTCAGTTCATTAGTTTGTCCTATATACTGGACTGTTTTCAACTTTTATTTAGCAAAAAATTGCATAACACACCTTTTTCAGTCACATTTGCAAAGGAGCACATGGTGTAATTGATTTAGTAAGAAAAATCTGTAGTGGTACTGAGAGCTGATCACGGTGTGTGTTTGTGGCTTGCAGTCATGCGGACTCAGGGAAGCCTTCGAGTGATCCTCAACACTAAGCTTTGGCCTCAGATGCAAGTGGATAAAGCCAGTGAGAAGAGTCTCAGAATAACAGCCATGGACACAGAGGAGCAGGACGTCAAAGTCTTCCTCATATCTGTAAGAACGCACTGAATGATTATATCATCACAGCTGATTTGAGTATTCAGAGGCTGTGAACAGTCAGTGTTGTGTTGTTGGTCTCATGCGGTCTCATCTCATCTCTCAGTCCAGCTCTAAGGACGCTGCGCAGCTCTTTGCAGCCCTGCACCATCGTATCCTGGCGCTGCGGAGCATCAGCGGGCAGGAGTCTGACGGCCGTCCGGCCATCCGCTTCAGTGATGACGACGAGTCCCGCACACCCCCCACATCGGCTACGCCTGCTCCAGGTAGTCTTTCATACCAAGTATGAAAGGAAGCTACCATCAAAGATGGTTATCTACACTTGTAAGGTGCAGATCAAAAATATTTTTTGTTGACATGATATTATCAACAACTGTTTTTATAGCAGGCGTTTTTAACTGATTTGTTTCAGGTTCAGGACTCCACCCAACAAAAAAAACAAAATTTTTTCCCCACCTAACATTAAAGTTTTTAAATATACTTTTATATTGCAATAACTTCACATTAAATTTTCAAATGAATGTAGAAACAACATAAAGACAGTATATTTTTCAAATTTGTTTAATGGCTTCTTTTTTATGACTGAAGGCAAGTATCACTGATACCAATACTACTGAGGTCTCTATGAAATAGTTTTCCCCCCCCTAATATTTAACCATTGACTATAGCCATTCAACATTACAGTATAATTGAGAGCTATCAATTTTAACATTTAGTAGACCCATTATAATAAATGTCATATTTGGCTACCTGTGCCGTCCAGAAAGTAAGAAATATACAGAAATTGAATAAAGTTATCAAACACTAAATTCTAAATAGATAAATCCTTAAAGCTACAAAAGTTATTGATTTCCCCTTTTTCTTTTGTTCTTTGATTTAACACGCATCACAGCAGCTGGGTTATTAGGTTTTTTGGCTGCTATTAATTTAAGAGCTGCCGCTGCTGAACATGACACGCATCCTATTTTCTAGGGCTGCACGATAAATCGAAATGGAAAAGAGATTGCGATTCGACAGAAGCTGCGATTGTCATGCGTATCTTTCAGTGACGCACGGTTCTGTGATCAGCAGTAAATCTCCATCCGAAGGCCAGAGGGCGCTCTCGCGCTGAAACTCCAAATACGCCTCGCAGAAGAAACCCAGAAAATGCCTATCGCTGCAGCTGAATAAACAGAAGATTCAACTGCTTTCATTGATTCAACGTGACTAATAAACACACGACTACGGCAATATACGGTTTATCTGAGTAACAATATGTTATTAAATGTGGTATTTTTCCTGCTGATTACAGAACCGGCTTTTTTAACAAAATGCGCATGACAATCGCATTTGATTAATCGTGCAGCCCTACTATTTTCTCACAACTCTTTACCTTTTCTGACCCACTTCAGCTCTTAAAGTCAGCTCTTGAATCGGGTGTGTTAGATGAGGGAGACAGTGCTGGGCTGCTCCGGGACAGTTTTAAGGCAGTTTTAATCGCCTTTTTGGTAACTTCATGACTTAACTGATGACAAAACTGCGACATTGCATGCTCGTAGTTTCATTTGTGCTTTAATATGAAATTATATACAGCACTTGTTATATGCATTATATATACAGCATTTGTGCGTGCACTATGGGCACAGTGTAACGGCTGACAGGACAGGAAAATTCATTTTTCTGACATATGGCCTAACATCTCCGAAACTCCTCGTCACCTGTACCTTTTCCCTGCTTGCTTGACTCGTGCCTGGTGCTGAGGCGAAGTTGAAGTGTACGTCTGAAAAGTCCCGTTTTATGTGCTCGTAAAGACATTATGCATCTAAATAAACACAATTCGGTCCCACTTTATATTAAGTGGCCTTAACTACTATGTACTTACATCAAAAAATAAGTACAATGTACTTATTGTGTTTATATTGTATTGCAAAACACTTTTGCTGCTATTGGGGTGGGATAGGGGTAAGGTTAGTGACCGGTTTGGTGGTATGGGTAGGTTTAAGGGTGGGTTAAGGTGTAAGGGATGGGTCAACAGTGTAATTATAAATGTAATTACAGAAATTAATTACAGATGTAATTACATGCATGCAATTTTTAAAATATAAGTACAATGTAAAAACATGTATGTACACAATAAGTGCATTGTACCAATGATTAATTTAAATGTAAGTACATAGTTGTTAAGGCCACTTAATATAAAGTGGGACCCACAATTCTTATCAAGAAAAAAGAGACAGAAGCAGCAGTTGTGATTGGGGTGGCCAACCTGTTGATGTGACTTTTTGTGTTTGTGACTTTTTTTTTGTTTTTTCTTTTTTTTTGAAATTCAATATTTATTGAAAAATTTATATTTATAATATTAATTGTCCACATTTGTTAATTTTTTCAACCATACATTAAAAATACAATTCATACCATGACTTGAATACATCTCTTTAATAATGCATATTTTAATTTCTGAATTTAATTTAGCTGTTTTGGGGGGCATTAAGTCAAAAACATCCAGGAAATATTGATATCTTCTGATAAAGCCTCATTAAAATAATTAAATGTCTAGTAGTTTGACAATCTTCTATTATTGTCTCTCAGTATTTTATTAGTAATAGTTATTGATAAAGATTAAAAATAACAACAATAATAATAATAAAATTGGTAAAAAAAAGTTTTTCAAAACCACACGAACCATCATGAATTCAAAGAATACATTCAAGAACGAGGCACATGCGTTTTAAACTAGAATTTTAATTTCTCCCTTTTAAAAGTTATGCATTATTATAAGTGATATTTATTTGGCTGTCCCAACTTACAACACTCATTACATTACGTATTTCATGGCACACTCGTTTTATGCGTATTTGGCGCCACCTAGTGTTGTGGGTGTATTATTGACATGTCAAAGTCTAGACCCTGAATATAAGACGACCGCGTTTTTTCAGATGTATTTCCAAGAAAAAAACATCGTCTTATATTCGGGTCAATACGGTATATATGTCTATATAGTTATTTTTGTTATTATTTGCAGTTAGTATTGTTTTTTCCCTGTTTTCCACAACCCGTTTTTGTGTTCATCTATTTTTGGATTTGTTTTTATCTGTGCTTTGCTAATTTGTCGGTTTTGTCTATTTATTCTTTTTTTTTTTTTTTCTTTCAGGTAATCTGGAGGCAGGTGTGTGTCCATCCACAGGTGACACATAGTGGTGAGCCTGCTGCTGATTTCTATCCCACAATGCCTCACTGCAGCCCTTTGATCCGCTCAAATACTATGCAGGTGTTTTTATTCCAAAATCCTTCAGGTGTACTGTAGTCTTGTGTTCAGCTGGTTTTATTTATTGCATTATTAATGTCATCATATTGATGAAAAAGAGAGGCTCTTAGTGTTTTAGTAAACTGGTTGTCCATTCTAAATGCGAGACTTAATTACTCAATTTCCTGCTGAGTGGAAACAGGGTAAATTTCACACAGAGTTAACAGAAACCAAACACAGATGCTAGTTGTCCCATCTCATCTTCCATCACGGTTCTGCTCAGTTTCGGCTGCATTGTTCAAATTATCCCTCACGTTCTCTCTTTAGATTTCAGAATGACTTTACTTGAGTCATGTGATGTGTAAGCGGCATTTAGTTTCCTCATATAGTGCTGTAGATCAGTACAATATTAAAAGAGAGCTGATCGTTCATGTTCAGTCTTATAAACATTTCAGAATCAGAAGTTTCACACTGCGGCTTTAAGTGGACCTCATTTATTATTCATATTAGATCAAATTGGTTTATGGTCTCTTTATTTAAAGGAAAAGTTCACCTATAAATGAAAATTCTGTTGTGACTCTCTTGTTGTTTCAAAGCTGAAAAAAGTACATATTTTTGAGGATTCTAAAAAAAAAACAAAAAAACAGAATATAGGTTTGGATGCATAAACAATGACAGCGTTTTTATTTTTGGGTGAAATGTTTCAGCTTTTACTTATCATTGCGGCGAGGTTGACCTCAACTTGCAAACAAAAGGAACCATTGTACAAATACTTACTGTAAATTATTCTCCCGTTTCAATGCAATAGTACCTTTTCACACAGTATATTTTTATGAATGTGTCCTGTAAATCAAGTTATTATTGTATAGTTTAGGATGGAAAGTTTTATAGCAAAATGTCTTATTGACATGAATTATTATCATAAAATGGGTTCTGTATTGTTACTACAGTAATACTATATAGTGTTTTTCACCTAAATATTTGTTTATTGAGGACGTTTTGTCGTAGATTAGTAAAAGACTAATGATTCTGTGCTCTGTTTCTCTTATTTAACAAGAATTTTGTTGGGAAAAAAAAAGAGAGAAAGAAAGAAAGTTGGACAACATATTTTAAATGTGATTGTGGAGCTACAGGACTGGCCTGTTGGGGAGAATCTCACAGAATCTGTCAGGGTGTCGTAGATTAGTAAAAGACTAATGATTCTGTGCTCTGTTTCTCTTATTTAACAAGAATTTTGTTAGAAAAAAAAAGAGAGAGAAAGAAAGTTGGACAACATATTTTAAATGTGATTGTGGAGCTACAGAACTGGCCTGTTGGGGAGAATCTCACAGAATCTGTCAGGGCTGTATTTCACACTAAAATAGGATCAATAAAGAAATAGTTCAACCAAACATGAAAATTTGCTGAACATTTATCACCCTCAGGCACCCTCATGTAGATGAGTTTGTCTCTTTATCTGAACGGATACGAATTCTCTGCAGTGAATGGGTGCCGTCAGAATGAGAGTCCATAACAGCTGATAAAAACATCACAATAATCCACAAGTAGTCCACACGATTAGTCCATCAATGAATGTCTCGTGAAGTAAAAAGCTGCATGTTTGTAAGAAACAAATCCTTCATTAAGGCATTTTTAACTTCATCTCCAGTGGAAAAGTCATTTTGTCTGAATCAGGAGAGAAATGTGCACAGATCAAGCACTGCTTACAAGTGAAAACAGTTCGTTGAGACACAAATATGTCTGTGGATTTTGAAGTGGGTGGACAACGGGATGGACTGTTTCACTGGAGGAAGCATTATTATAGATTATGAAATCATATTTTGGCCAGAAGAGACGGTTTAAAGTTAATTATAAAATGCCTTAATAATGGATTTGTTTCTTATTAACATGCAGTTATATTATAGTATTTTATATGATAATATATATTCAATTCTATAATATATTCAAATATATTACAATATTTTTCATAAATTAGATTTTGGGGTGAAATGTGACAAAAATTGTTATGAGATTTGCTGTTTTAGAGTTTTTAAAGAAGCAAAACCTGCTACATCTTAAGTTACAGAGGGCAGTTTGTCCGCTAGTGTGGATCATTACAAATTATTTTAATATAATTAATTATATTGTAATATAATTACAAATGATGTCTTTATATCATAATAAAATGACAAATTATTGTAATATAATTTAATAATATATTTAATATGATTTATAAATTTTATTGCAATCATTTAATTGTTTTTCTTTAGATTTTGTGATGAAATGTGACCTAGATATTTTTTGTGAGATTTGCCCTTGTGTACAGGTTTTTTTGAAGAAGCAAAACCTGCTTCATCTTAAATTGTAAAGGCAGTTTGTCAGCTAGTGTGGGTCAGACGTCACTCATGAGGCACATTACTGCCAGACAACATAGAGAAACATGTGACTCTCACACAATGTAGTTAAAGAAGGGCTTTTCCCACTCTGCTGCTGAATATCCTCAATACACTGCCAGCGATAGGTACTCAATTGTAGCATATGCTTAAAATGTGAAAATAGAAAACAACGTACGGTACATTGTCTGTTTCTGACCACATGTGCTTTAATGTGTCTGAAGCAGATGATGCATTGCTCCATCCTGCCATTCACATACAGTCTTCTGTACAGTTGAAGAGCAGGATGTGAAGCAACTGACCGCGTGAAAAAGACTGTAAAGAACGTGATGAAATGATCATCCTTCAGTCTGCTTTTCACCTATATTTGTTCAGACTAGAACAGGTTACATCTAGTAATTTTATAGTAGGATACTCTTTATTTTAACTACAGTATTGTTAAAAATAAAACAAGTGATATGTAGATATGCTGGTCAATATACTAAATAAGCCTTTGTTACAAATTTAGCAAGTTTAAAAGCTAAAAAATATATTTTTTGTCCTGTTTGCAGAGTGTTTATACCAACTATAGCACTTAATTGTTGTTTTGTGTTCATATTTGTGTTGAACCTGCTTTCCTTTTAATATTACATTCTGTTGTTCCGCTGCAGAATGAATGTGTTTTTCCATTCAGTTTGATGTTTCCCATCAATATGAAAGGACTAGCAGGGCTAAAGATTTACAAAGCAGATGTTTGCTCGCTGCGAGTTGATTGCTGTAAATGTCTGTAAATGTTTACATTTAGTGTGTTGCAGCAGATGTACTAGAGGACACACTCCTTTTTTTTCTTTTTTTGGGTTGATTGTGTAGACCTCAGATAGACTGTGAACACGCCGGTGCTATTTCTGGTCCAGAACAGGTCAACTGCACTGGTCTTGTGGTTTAAATATACAATTTTGCTCTGGTGGAAGCGTTTAGAGATCATTTAGAAGGGCTAGGCTGCTATTGGACTGTTGATTTCACTGGGATAAGTATGTCTTTTTGCTACCCACGATTTTGAAACGTATAATGGTGGTCAAATGTGGATATATATTTGGTCTGTTAAGAGACATTTCTGTTTTCCGTTAACCTTGTAACAAGTTATAAAACCCTGGAACACGCAAAAAACATCTTGTCTTTTTTTCCCCTCTTTTGTTTTTCATTCATTATTCATCCAGCATCGTTTTTTTTTGTTTTTCAGTGAAAGGCTATCTTGTATTCATGTTTGCATTTAAAATGATTCAAACCATTTTACTATTCCACCTATTCACATCTGCTGATTTTACATATGAATTATGATGCTGCTTCTAAGTCACATTATTCTGCCACTTGGAAACCTGTACTGCCTTTGACTGTTGTTTGATAAAGTCTCCTCTTCCTTTGTCTGCACTCTCTACACTGTGTCTGATTATTCCTCTGTCAATATTTTGTTCTAAACTGCATTTGTTTTTACTTTTTGAGTAGCTGTTTTCCATAAAGTGGCCATGCCAACATCTTGACACCAGCCTTTATTATATATA